TTTTTCGAAAATCAACACAAGTATCTTGCTGATTATCACCATAATTGAAAAATCATGGGTCGACTTTTTCCATATATGATAGATTATAAAGTAAGAGTTCCGTTCTCAAAAATAGTATAACGATATACAGTGCAAATCTACTAGTCGAAATTGAAAAGTCCTCATGGATTCAATGAGTATCATGGCGATTTTCCAGAAGTCCAGATAAAAAAAATACTCTAAGATCCATTCGAAAACTATTGCCTTTTGCTTATTAATGTGTCTCTCATTTCTTAACTGTACAAGAGCGAAAACTCGAACTCGCCAACTCATCGCGTTATCCAGTTCTTTAATTTGCAAGCAACCTGACTAGATTGGGAAATGGATAGAAAATAGATAATCAATTAATTACGTAATTTAAAACAGTAGCTAATGTTTGTTAACAATTTTGTATAATTGATCTCTTACTGACAAATAATTGTAGAATGATTCGATCATTAATTAATCAAAATACGAATTAAACTTTGAAAAGTTCTCTTTTTTCAAATGCGAGTATTATATTTCTATTTGGCAAATAAATGCAGTTTAATTCGTACATTATTCGTTTATAACTATGCTAATATTCATTGTTTTAGCTTCAAACTATAGTCAACTACAAGATTCTTTCGTTACTAAATTACTTCGTTTCATTTCTAGTTGAATTGAACAAATGAACGTTGATTTGTGACAACTGAGAAGTACTTTGTAAACTTGCATAAATTGTTGATCACAAAGAAGTTTAAATACCATACATATAAAATTCTCTCAAACAGTTTCGTTTCTTCTCATTTTAGATGGTGTTATGGAAAATAATGGTGAGTATTACTTCTTTGATACTATTTTCATCTCTCTTGGTCGACTAATAAATAGACAAAGGTTTTCTTAAAGATAAAGTTACAAATGTTCTGAATAAACTTTAAACAATGATCAACATCGTTCTATGGAAATCTCTGTCAATTGATGCATATTCGGAGTTATTCGTTTAACTTCCAATCGAAAGTCTGACGAACACTTTGATTTGATTTAATCAAGTTTTGATGATGAGCAAACTTTTTCTCATAAGTATCAGAAGAAATTGATTGTTAATAAAAAACAAACCTCTTTTGCTGAAATCTGCAACGTTTAAACCTTTAATCATCAGCTCCAATATGATATACTGGGTGAGAATTTTGAAGATATTATCCAATTATTATTTCAACCACGCATAACTTGTGAATGGAGCATTTCTTTCTTTGGCATCTTCATGTAGTTGTTAATCCATATTTTTATACTTTGAAAATGATTATTTTCTCATTTTTGAATATACCATCATAATATATTTTTCAACTTTTTTTAGAAAGAAAATTTTTTCTCTTCAGATAATTATTATTAATATACATCTTTAGAATCTAATCGTCGAAAACTAACTCAGATAGAAAGACGATCGAAGAATAATATGTGAAAAACTGAAGTGATTTTCTTCTGGTAAAATATCAAAAAGGACATTATTAAATTGACTTGATGAAAATTAAACAAGTTCATTGTTCATTTCAAGAATTCTAATGAATCAGATAAAACATTTGAATTATTGCACTGTCATAATGCATCATAATACTAACTCTCTTAATAAACATTTATTTATATATATATATATTTATATATTATCTTTGATTGTCGAAGGATGTATGTTGTGTAATTTCTTTCTATTTATGATTGTTTGGGTGTGGGGTGTGGATGTGGGCGTGGGGTGTGGATGTGGGCGTGAGGTGTGAATGTGGGTATGGGTGTGACTCTTCTATGTGTCCACCCACGCCCTCACCCACCCATCCCCACATCCACCTCCACACCCCACGCCCACCCATCCACACATCCACTCCCACACCCACCCATCCCCACATCCACCTCCCACACTCCACACCCATCCTCAAGATTAAGTATTACTTTTAGACATAACCTGAAATTCTCAATAGATTTCTCAAAAGTATTGTGTTACAAAACAGTTAGCATACACGATATGTGACGATATTCGTCAGAATGATTTCAAATATATACTGTCTCCGACGTGTTGGTTTTTCTTTATTTAGTCGCAAAAAAAGGATCGTTTTTGAACATGAATCATTAAATCAGTCAATGCTTTTGCTTTCTTCATTTAAACACTTTGAGTCACAAGTATTAACTAACGGTTGTTTTGTTTGTTTTATTTCCCTTATGTGATTCATTAACAATCAATTTTTATTGTATAACAATGATATTTTGTTCAATTCAATATGATTCATTTGCCAGTAAAACTAAGGAATAAAAATAAAAATATTTTATCTGTCCTTCTCGTAGTCGTTTATCTATCAATGTAATTTGTTGGATTTAATTATGCATTATCCTCAACATTACTGGAGAGATCTATAGTCATTGATAATATCTGATCTGAAAATTTTATTTCATTTCAATCAAAAAAAAAGAAAAGAAAATTCTAATTTTTTTTTAAAGCTAACAATTTCTTCAGTAGCAAATGCACACAGTAAAAAAAATTCATATTGTAGAGACATTTTTATGTATTCTAAGAGAAACTTGTTAATACTATGTGTATGAGAAGAATTGTATAACATACAGTCTTCATCAATAGTAAGATTCAAATATCTAACATTTTGATATTCAGGCGAACCAAGAGGATTTATATTCTTGTTGAAAATAAATCAATTCAGTTAAAATTATATAGGAATATGCAATTTAACCGATATGTGAAATTGTTACAACAACTACTTGTGATGTATCAGTCTCTTTAGTCATAGTCCGAATATGTGCTACTAAATATTTTCATTAAATACAATGTAGAAAAAAAACATGCAAAATAATTTAATTACTATTCCATTTAATGGAAATGATGATTTTATCAGTATTTTTTATATAATGCTACACCTTCATTGATACTACAAGTTTCATTATTTATAATAAATTCTACATCTTAAATATTGTTCATTTGAACAATTACTAATATATGACGCGTACATAATCTATTAATACCTAATTATTCATCATCTGTTATTAGAAAGATAAGATTACAATTCATAAGACAAGATTTATCCTCTTTACTTTTACAGCTTGTTATATTTTTATGTTATATTATTTATGCAAACTCATTAGGTGAACTAGCGTTCTGAAACATACAAAAGAGATTGTGATGAAGAATCTCAATTTTTTATATCAGAATAGAATATAAGAAAAACACATATTGCAGAGCTTCAACGGTTTCTTAAAAAGACATTACTTCTATAAGGTTTACTGAGATTCGTCAAATTTTAAGAAAAAACATAATAATATCGGATACAACAGTAATGTCTCTTAAAACTAATATAAATTGTCAACTATTCTCGGGTATTCAAGCGAATTGAATAATATAATTAAAATGTGATCGAAACAATTTGTTTGATTAGTTGATTGCTTCAAATAATTCATTTCAATCAGTTGCGATAGTAGAAGTTCGGTTATATACTTCATATGAGTCATAATTACTATATTTAACTGAAAATGACTATTTTATTTTATAAAATAAATAAACTACGTAGTAATAAAAAAAAAAGGTTTAAATTGATATTACAAAGTCATAAGCTCTTAGATTGAATAAGAAGTTTAAGCGCCTTTCGTTTTCATTCAACATATATAGATAATTATCGACGAAATTTTTAGTTTAGAGATACATGTGTGATAGCATAGCGTAAAGTCTCAGCTTTGTGAAACACTGAAGCATGTCGACGACTACATCAGATTTTTTTTATGTATTTTGCATGTTTGTCAAGTCGTACTCTAGAAAGGAGCATATATGTGACAACAAACTACAATTTTTTTTATGATACTATTTATAACTCTTGAACAAGTTGTGGATATGGGTTTCGACGATCTCTTCACCCATATTTTACACTTAAACTCTGTCTAAAATATTCTAAAAAGTATCTGAATGATTCATCGATTCTTTTTCTTTGAAACTTAATTTTTCTTGTCAGTGTCTAACAGATTCTTTTCAACATTAGTTTATGTGTTAGAAAAGACGCAAAACAACATTGCGAATCGAAGAGCATTATCGAAATTGAAAATCAAAATACTTACAAATAGAAAACAAATGTAAGTGTTCCAATGTTGTTGGAAAATATGGCAATTACATTTTGAAACCAACTCGATATATTTATCGTTTGCCTGATTTCTTTGCAAGATCTTGGAAAAATTTTAATCAATCAAGAGTCAACCATTGTGGGCACTAAAGACGGATGCCATTTCGAATCAATGATTCATGAGATGAAACGGAATTACTTTTGAATTTACTTTTTGTTTGAATGTAACATTTAGAAAGAATACACTGGCTGAAATAGGTCAAAAAAAATGCATGTGTATCTGAAAGTCATAAAAACATTTTTAATTAACACTTGTTAATGCAATTGCGTCGGTGAAGACTTTCTATGGAAGAATACTATAGCATAGTGTCTATTTTTAGCATTTGCGCTATTCGTAAAATATAATAACATCATTGAAAGGTGTGAAAGAGAACTAGTAACTCGATAAAAAGAATAGTACAATGCGAATCACATTATTGCATTAGTTTTTAACCTATATTATAAAAAAACAGAAACTCAAGTCATTTTCATCCGCAAAACACTGCTTTTCCTATTTGAGTGTCTTTTTTTTCCTGGCAGATCGATTAGTAATTACTCTCTACTGTCATTAACTCTATTGAACAAAAAAAAAGAAGCTTAGGGACGTCTTTTGTAAGCAATATCTATCTACCTCCTAACTATGCAATATGAAGCTAACTAATCAAGCCTTATTATTTGCTCTGTCAGATTTGGAAACAGAACACGTTGATTATCTACTTTTCTGGATTTTTTAACAATGTGTTCTCATAGCGTATAACTCGAATAAAAGTATGTTAAGAATAAGTCAAGCTTTCACTTCATCACATTTGATGCTATATAAATGAGCACAATACGGGAGCTCTTTTGCATATAACTTAAATAAACATGGGCTGTAACTTATCACGAGTAGCAAATGCATCGAGTTTATTAACAGCTGAACAAAGTCATTTGCTTGTTCGAGATAATTGGACTGATGTATGTAATAAATGTTATGAAGAAGTTGGCATTAGTTTTATGGTTCGGTATAGTCAACTATGTTTTTAGTTAAATAAATCCAATAGATATTATTTATTTCTAGAATCTTTCAAGATTATCCTCAACTAAGAAAACTTTGGATTTTTGCCGCTAATCTTGAAAAGGAAGAAGAAATTCGAAATAATGCACAAGTACGTTATCATGCTGCAAAAATCATGTACACTCTTAATGAAATTATTAACAATATCGATGACTATGACAAACGACGTCATATTCTCGAAAGTCTTGGTCAAATTCATTTTATGTATGATGTACAACCTGCTTATTTTCAGGTAGAAGTTCTTCATAAATACAAACAAAAATTTCAAAGATTTTATTTTGAGTAGGCAGCAAAATCTTCTATGGAACATGTATTAAATTCAGTACTTGGCAAAAATTTTACAGATCGTCATAAGCAAGCATGGACTTATCTTTTTCAGCAGATTGTTGTCGATTTGGGTCGAGGTGTCGAACAACAAGCAGTTCTTGCTGGTCATCTCAAGAAAGAAACTAAAATCCTTACTGAACATACGATGTAGCCACTATCAAATCTTCTTTTTTTTTGTTTTTGACTCTTAAAATCAATATACGGATCGATGAAAAGATTCAATAAAATCACGCGCTGTTATACTTCTTATCAAGATACATTTGATCGAAACTAGTTTTTGTAATGAATTTCTACACGTGGAAAATTGACCGGGAAATAAATGCTTCGGATATGAGTGTTAGTGTAGGTATGGGACGTTGGGTATGAGGTTAGGTGTGACTCTTATTTTGGACGTGAAGTGTTGGAGCTAGTGTGGATGCTGAGATGTGGCTGTATGTATTACTGGAGAGAAGACTCGAAACATAACACAAAAAGCTATATCGACACTCTGATAGATCTTATCGTGACTATTAACAGAAAGATGTGGGCATAGGTGGAGGTTGCAGTGGGATACACCTGCCCGGATGTTAATATGATTACGCTCTTGTTGACCCTGGTAGATTTTTCAAATAAACCTCTTCTAATTGTAAAATATCGAAGTTTTGAATTATTTGGTAACTCATTTGCATCAAGAACTCTTTTGGATGCGAGTTGTGAATGTTTGCATGGATGTAGGTTTAAATATTGGTGCAAAGATCCACATAGACGCATGCACTCACACACGTCCAAAGCTACACCTACTGTTATGAACTGATAGACTGGGCCCATATTTTTCATAATTGGGCAGCGAGAGCAGAGATACATAGCTCATATTGTTTCGTTTTTGAAACTATACTGCGAAATTTGGAAGAAAAATATTGGACAAGCAGACTTATTTTTCTAACACTATTTTTTATGTAAATGTATCATTACTCTGAAACCGATCAGAGCTACCTTTTCGACGAAGCACTATTAGGATCTAGGCAATAAACTGTGATAGTTTCAGAGATTATTCTGTTGAGTAAATATTGTAGACTCAAAAACAAATTTTGATGAATGAAGTACATGTTGCAGTGATGCTCGAGGGTACTCTTTTAGAAGAGAGTAAGAACAATGTAAAGTAAATTCATCCAATACTTATGATACGTTTCACTAGAACTGGAAATCTGAATTCACTGTCAAATGAGTCATAGTCTCTCGAAAAAAACAAATCCGGAGATGATTGCTAGGCATGAACCAGTCACAAGATTTTGTTGTTTTTAAACAATATTTCAACTCGAGGCTTGTTTCTCTGCTTTTCTTTCATTAGAGTCAACAAAGCTACTACATATACAAACACTTATAAAATCATCCATCTTGATTCTTTTATGATTCCCGGTGTTTGTTTGAAGAAGAAATCAAGAAGACAGGATTTATTCAACGAAAAAAATAAATAAGGACTCTCTCTGACTTCTCTAATAGAGTAAAAAAATCGAATGAAAATCATATTTCAGTCCTATTCCAGTAACGTAAATTCATTTCAAAATATCAACGTGATGCATCAATATTTCTTCGCCACAATTATAATGTGAGTGTCTGTGTATTTCTGTATCTTGATAATTTTATCTTTCTTTGGGATTATTAGCTTCTGCACTTGCATCGTATCAAGTAAGTAGGTTTTATTTATTGAATATAAATTTGAGAAAATTCATCATACACCAACAATTGATCATGTGAATTAAGTCAAAAAGAGCATTTATCAGCTTATCAACGCAAAGTTTGTCACATAAGTCAGCCGTTCAAAAAAATATTCTAGTGGATGTTGAAGCCCTATCATCTGTATGTGAGCATGCAAATTCGATTTATTATTCACTTTGAAAGTTGCATTTATGCAATTTCAATTTTCAAATGAATGATATTTTGCAAGTTTAAACATACCACTAGTAAGAATAAGGATATGTCGTGGTAACAATCAAAGTTGGAATAGATTGATTAAGATAAAAAAAACACTAGAACATTCGCATGTTCATTGCACGCTTGTATTTTTTCTATAATTTTTCACCTACAATCCTTAACTTTTGATCTTTGATCATCTATCTTTGACCGTGGATCTTTGAATATGTCACAGTCAACATGAGAATACAACTGACTTTGAAATGTGCAAAGTAATTAAAATAACAATTTTCTTGGCAAAATAAAAACACTTGAGGATGTAGGTGTGGGCGATAATTAAAAAGAGACCCACATTCACACACACTCACACTCTGTCGGTCATGCTAGCTGCTAGATCGAACTAAGCGAAAAAGACATTTCGTATCTTTGGAATGATTGTCAAGATGGGTTATAACATTTTAGTGAGAATATTTTGAGTACGGATCGGACGCGCTCTGTGTAGAACTCGAAAATGTTTCATAAGTCGGATTGAAGTCGGATTCAGTTTCAAAAAGCCTTCAATAAGTAGTGTAGAAGTCCAGGTTTGGATTCAAAAATTTTGCTATCGATGAGCTCCAGTATGTTAGTTCGAGTGTATGTATCTGAGAGAGTATTGAGGTGTTGTAGGTGAGTATGTGTGGTGTGGATAGGGTGTGCATATTGTGTTCTTTCTACACGCACCCACACCCACATCTACATCCACATCCACTCACAAATGATTCTAGAATGAGAAGAATCTAAGAGGAATTAAAATGGAAAAATCAAATTAATGCTTATTTTAAATACTGTTTCTATATCATTGTTCAGGCTATGGTGTTGAAGATACAACCTCTTCAAGTTGTGGATGCTGTCCAGCGCCATGGTGTCCCACTCGAGCAGAATCTTGTTCATCAAATGTTGACTGTGAATGTCTATGGATGACAGTCACTGGTGATGGTATGTGTGCCGACACAGTTATCTCTTGTTCGAATCTAGCACCGTGTCAGAGTGATAATTTGACATGTTCGGAAATCAATACGGTCTGTGTTAATAATACTCGATGCAATCGACCTGTGTGCTTTCCACTTGCACGTGCTCAAACTCAAAGATGTCCACCCAAAGGAAGTACGAACCCAATGACGACGAGATTGTTGAGTAAGTGATAAAATGATTAAACATTTTCAATAATTTTTACTAAGCTGCCTTTTATACCTGCGTTTGTGTATATGGAATATTTTCTTTTTCTCTGAGTTGAATAAAAAGTGAATATTTCATGATAAAATGATGAATATGACTCACTCATCATGTTATTTGAGAAAACAGAGAAGCTAGTAACAAAATGTAGAAATTCTATTACGCAGAATAGATCATTACTGAAGTATCCTCTGCTTATCTCTAATGCGAAGTCATCTAAAAATGAACTCATAGTCTAGCATTTTAGATGCCCAACTGCTGGAAATCAATATCTTGCTAGAATTTGTGTACTTTGTAAAAAGTTGGTAAAAATACATAGAGGCGTATATAATGCCGTTTTGTCAATATATAACTGAACTATAAAAAATTCAGTCTCTTCTTTAATCAGACTTACACTTCGTTCAGGACATAACAACTAAACAAGGATAAAAATAATTGTGACCAGTAAATTAAAAGTATAAAATTATTTGACAAAAAAAATTTCGAATTCATAAAGCAAAATTTTAACAATTATTATAGCGTCAACAACAACATCAAGAACAACAACAACAACGACAACCACAATACCAAGAATAACAACAACAGTGTCAGCACAACGTAGTAAGATAAAAGCAATGCTATCTGATTTTCATTTTTGCATAGCCTCCATTAATTCTATCACATCGGCAATAAATAGGCTTCAATGTCAGTCATCCGCATATGAAAATCAGTCGATGAACTCTTGATCCAAATTATTGCAACTTTTGTAGTTCAGAACTTGAGCTTTAAAATCCATATTTCAACAAACATGCCTAAACTCACAAAATATTGGATTTTTAAGCTTCAGCTGCTACATTAACTTAACAGCATTTATCAAAAGTTTAACTTGTAAACTGACATATTCTCATCAGCCTGCGCAAAAACTTTTCTTACTTTGAAGTTTTTAAAAGTGAATTTTAAGAAAATCCGACACTGGCAACCATCACTTGATAATTAGTGATCATGGGTTTTGCTGATTTTCGGATGTATTACGGAGAACATCGCCTTCATTCTTTACTTGAAGTTTCATCTTCATAGCTCAACAGACTGAATCATCAACCTTCTAGTAGTGTAAATGTTCTGTCAGGACTAACTTTTTAAAGTGACTCGTTCTCCGTCGTTCGTAGACGTTTTAATTTCATACGTACTTAGTAAGTTGCATCACTTTAGTGTACCATTCAAAGGAAAAGCTGAGAATTTTTGTATCCGGTTGATGTGGAAAACTATAGCTTTACAGCCTATGCATCCGTAGTTGGGTCATGAACAATGGCTTTGAGCAATGATTTTAGAGGCTGAAAATTTTATCCCTAATAGAGTTTGATGCCTTTCTATCTGTGATAAAAAGTTTGCGCCAGATATTTATTAATTTGAATTTTGGCATATACTATTTTTTGGCTCAGACAGCGAGGTAATATGATATTATCGGATCAATAGAGCCCCACCAACTATGTTTTCAATCAAACTCAGATTCAGTATAATACTCTACGTAGACGGGTACATATTTTATAGAAAAAACATAGTCCCAGTCTCACTAGTAAACATATTTCACTAACATCTTTTAGAAGTCAATATTGGTCCTTGATTAGGTGTACATATATGAATTTTGCTTATTTAATAGCCTCAGTTTACGCTTTTTGTTTCTAGTAGCGAACCGTTTCTATCTTCAACAGTCTTCGTCCTGATCATTTTTTCAGTTTAATTTTCATGTGCTGAACATTCTCATGCTCAACTACTGATCCCCCACATGTTATATATATGTTGCGCTCGATTTCATTTCAGTAAATACAATTACATATTCTCAAAATTTCACTGTGAGTGGTACCCCTTCGGACCAATGTACGGCATGGGAAGTGTTTCGAGCTCAATTGATCGCACAACCTTATACATCGATGACAATGAAAGGCACAAATAATGCAGTGGGCATAACACTTACAAATGCTACTGTTGTGGCAGCCATCGCTCAGGCTCTTCGAACAAATACTACATACGGTCCTGTTTCATTGGACCTGTATTCATGGGCAGTAGGAGTATGCGGTAGTGGCTATGAAGTTACTTCAACAGGTTCAATATGCGCCTGCAACACTGGTTATACAATTCGACCTTGTATTGGCAATTGGAATTGGGGCGCTATCGATGGATATACATGTAGTGCGTCGTCTCAAACCATGACTTTAATATTTCAGTACTAAGACATCACTTGCGTAAATTTCAATGATACCGAACTACCATTTCATAACTTTCTATTTTCTTTATCGAAATAAAATATAATTGAATACCAGCTTCATCGATATACAGGGAGTCTCAAAATTATAAGATACTCGCTTTCCCTAGAATTTTGAGAACTATTAAGATTTCTTCAACTCAAAAATATTTCAATTCCGATCTAATATCAAATCCATACACATAGAAGCAGTCTATCACGTGCCATATTGATTTGAATTTGATCACTTAGTATTAATGAATAAATTCAAAAAAACTTATAATGTCAACTGTTCTATAATTATAAGACTCCCTTGCGTACATGTAAAAATAGTGAATTAAGTCTAATTTTGCCAACTCAATACTTTTCAGTATCCATTCAAAAGAGTAGATATTCAGCTGTCTACTAGAAAAATTGATTTACGAAAACTAATTTAACTTTTCTACACTTTGAGAAATTAAATGGTAGAAAAATTAAGTCTCAAATTTTTCATGTAGTTCGAAAAAAATAAGTTTTCATCTCATTTAAACTATACCATTGGCTGGAGCATCAGAAGCTGCATACATTACATATATTTTGACAAAAGATTTGAAACGGGTGTGGTTAGAGGTTCTGATGTGAATCTAAAATTCAGTTGTTGGTTCTAAAGTGGTTTGACGTGTTGGGATGTGTTTGCGGACAGTAGAGTTCTCATTTCTTTCATTCTAGTTAAACATCACATCGGAACCTTGCACTCACACCAACAGAACAGTTACTGAAATTTTAGTAGTTGTATCAGGTTAACACATGAACAAAAAACTTCATTTTGTGCGGAAATGTCGGTGAATCCATACTCTAGTTTCATTTGAGTTTGATTCTTTACAAGAGTTGTTCTTCATAAAAGTTCTTTTAATTAAACGCTAATTAGCGAATATCTCTCTAACCATATGAGAAAAAAATCAAAAAATTTCATAGTACGAGATGCATCAATAGTAAAATTTTCAGCGACATTTGACTCCAAAATCCGATGTTCTGAACATCCTGCCACGTTTCAAGACAAGAATGTTTGTCTTACCACAATCAAGAGATTCGAAAAGAGAATTTGTATGGTTTAGATGTCTCATTCGGTTATAAAAGCATTGCATCGTTTATATATTATTGCATTAGCAAAAAAGGAAATCGATATTTTTTGAAAAATTGAGCCATTCTCAAAGACAAAATTTTGAACGTAGATTTTTTAGCTTCAGAAATTATCTAAAAATTGTATTACTTAGTTGTTCGAAATGCTGCTTCAAGTCAGAGTTTTCTGTAAACTAAAATTTATAAAGTGAAATGTGATGCTCTTTTGTAAAGTTAGTTTTTCAACATAACTCGAATTTGAGATCAAAGGGCAATAATTTACTGTAAAAATATTAGCATTTTCAGTATTAGTATTTGATCATAAAGGATAATAAAAAAAAAGCTTACCATTTTCACACTGAGCAAGTCTCATGAAGAAACTTGTGATCCAATCAATAATCGTTGTCTAATTTCATGTTGATTTGAATCACGATCATCCATAGATATTGTTTCTTCTAATTAATAAGTAGTCATTCCCTTTTTATAACTATATGAATTGTATAAATAAACAAAAACCTGAAATAATTCTGTTCAATATATATGTTCAAATATTTAATGAATATCAAAAAAAGTAAATTAAAAACAAAACAAAAGAAAGAAATATACAACATCAAGCAGAAAACAATCAAAGCTTAATTTTACAGGGATATATCATAATTACGACTAAGGTTACATTGAATATCCATTCGTAATTGATTCATTTGTCGATGATCTTAGCATTTGATGATGAGAATAAACTTGTGCTTGTGGCTGATTTGAATCGATAATTGATTGAAGTAAAAATGATTATGAATTCAAATAATCTAAATATTTGTTGAGAAAAAATTCTCTTTTTCTTTTTTTGAAAGCTTTCTTGTTACTTATTTAACGTTGGTACTGATCCGTGTACATGTAGCATTTGATTGGTATATGAAACGGATGATGATGATGATGTCATATAATTGAGATAAGCAGAAAATGCTGGTTGAGTTTGTAATGAACGATAACCGGCAGCGAGGTCAGAAGCATCATTTAAGAGTAACTTGTGGTGAAAGTGATGAATACCGTGTTTCAAGACTTGTTAATCGTGTGAAGAATAAAATAATCTTTTTTTGTTTTTTATTGAAAAGAATGTCTTTACTTAAATGCATTTATGGCATAGGTGATGATCGTAATGATTTGTTTGATGGTAGTGAAAAAAAAACACATGATGGTTAATGGCGTAGCTCATATAGAGCTAGATTTGACTAGTCCAATCCCCGGCTATTATAAAAAAGAAATTGTTTTTTAGAGCGATGAAATTAAAAAAACATAAGAGACTCACATTTTCTTCCTGACAATGGAGACATATGTGCTATCTGTTAATAAGATTAGATAGATTTTGGTCAGATTACATATCTCACTGCCAAACTAAAACAATTCAAAATATGAGCTATTGACGGTACGTGCAGATTGAAGTATTCGAGTTTTAAAGGTATTTATAATGAATGTAAGATACCCACAATTCATAGCTTCGGGAGAACTTTCTTTTTCCATTCATATACACGATTATTTTCAAATACAGGAAAGAATACACCCAAATCTTTGATTTTTGTGAAATTTGTTTTTGTTTTTCAAGTTTGAAACAGAGTTTCTTATGAAATTCGACGGAGTCTATCCAATCATCATTTAAAAGGGAAACAGATATTCTGCTGAAATTGTAAATGGTGTTCATCTTACATACATTGTAGCTATCTTAAAATTCGAATATGTCGGTTTGTGAATGCCATCAACAGCTCATATTTTTAAATTTTTACTTTGGTGGTGAGCATTTAACCTAATCGAAGTATGACTAATCTGATTAACTGACAACGGAAGCGTCTCCATTATGAATTCAGACTAAGTTGATCTTTAATTGAATACATACTTAATCATATTTTATTTCTTGTGATGAACAGGTGTCTGTTGTGTTATTAACAATTGATAGATTATCATTTCACCAAAGATTTGTTTCTCTATGAATGCTAAAAACGAAATACACAAACGATTCCGCATTATATTAAACAAGATAAAGTTACTGCTAAAAGAATACTCAGTATTCATTGTTGTTGCTACTACGATTATGCTAATTTCATCTACTGTATGTGAAAGAACGTTCCATAAGAATTAAATTGATTAAAGTATCGACATACAGTACAATAACGGATATTAGATTGAATCGTTTGTATGTTTTAGCAGTGGAGCATGATTTTAATACCGATTTCGAAAAACTCATGTGTGTCTTCGCCAACTTACACTGAAACACTAGTATTGTACTAAAGTAAATATTCTAATTTCTTTTATTTTGTTCTCCCTAATCAAATGAAAACACCATTTTAAAAGCCTGTTTGTAGGGATAAATACATTGTTATATTCTTTCTCCATCAAAACGAAAAATTGCATCTCTTTATGCAAACTTCCTAAAAACCGTTAGCGCTGAGCCCAACCAGTCAATTTTTTTCTGGTTATCTCGTTAGTGTCATTTGAGTGATGATGATTTATATGCTAATACATAAAGTGATGGTTGAGCTAATCAATAATACTGCGGATGTTGAGCATATTGCGCCATTTGAAGATTTAAAATAAAATTTTAAATTCATTTTTTATGTAAAGAATTGTTACTGCAATGCTCGCATAAATTATAATCAATAGCATTGATACACAGTCTTTAATCGTATATCAGCAACGTCTGTAGTAGTCAAGGCATTATGAATGACGAAGAAACGATCCTAACTGTCAGAATGCAACTGTAGGTGTGCGTGAAGAGAAGATTGAGGCTATATATCCACACCATTAGCTCGATATATTTATCAATTATCTGATTCCTCCGCAAGACCTTGGAAGACATACAATCAATCAATATGTTAATCTTGCGAGTACCAAAAATAGACGTCATTTGAAATCAATGTATCTTGGAATAGGATGAAATCACTTATGAGTTTACTTTTCCTTTGGATGCAGCATTTGAAAAGATCACATGAACTGAATTAGATCTGAAAAGTCATATGTATCTCAAAACAGAATACCAATTTTTATGAAAAGCATAGAAAATTTTTTAATTAATATTTATTGAAGACAATGCGTCGATGAAAACTTTCTATGGAAGAATACTGTAGCATAGTGTCTATTTTTAACATTGGTGATATTCATAAAATACAACAACATCGCTGAAAGATGTGAAAGAGAACAAAAAACTAGATCTAAAAGAATAGTACAGTGCGAATCACATTACTACATTAATCTTGAATTTATATTATAAAAAACAGAAACTCAAGTCATTTTCATCCTCAAAGCACTGCTTTTCCTATTTGAGTGTCTTTTTTTTCCTGAAAAGTCGATTAGTAATTACTCTCTACTGTCATTAACTCTATTGAACAAAAAAATGGAGCATAGTGACGTCTTTCGTAAGCAACGTCTATCCATCTCCTAACTATACAATATGAAGCTAACTAATCAAGCCTTATTGTTTGCTATGTCAGATTTGGAAACAGAACACGTTGATTATCTACTTTTCTGGGTGTTTTTACTATGTGATCTCACAGCGTATAACTCGAATAATAGTATGTTAAGAATAAGTCAAGCTTTCACTTCATCACATTTGATGCTATATAAATGAGCACAATACGGGAGTTCTTTTCCATATAACTTAAATAAACATGGGCTGTAACTTATCACGAGTAGCAAATGCACCGAATTTGTTAACAGCGGAACAAAGCCATTTGCTTGTTCGAGATAATTGGACCGATGTATGTAATAAATGTTATGAAGAAGTTGGCATTAGTTTTATGGTTCGGTATGGTCAACTATGTTTTTTAGTTAAATAAATCCAATAGACATTATTTATTTCTAGAATCTTTCAAGATTATCCTCAACTAAGAAAACTTTGGATTTTTG